TTTCCAACAATTAAAAATAGTTGTTGATGTGACACTATTCCAGGACTTAGCAACATAATCTATTGCTTTTTTGATATCAATTGGTTTTGGATCTATACCAGTTTGTGCTAGATCATAATTTTTAATTTTCTTTTTAAGAAATAATTTTCTATAGTTTGCCTACAATTTATTAATTATTAACATCAATGTAATTTAATATTAACATTGAAACTAAAGAAATTACAAACCTTGAAACTATGAATTATTCCAGCATCACATGGTTGTAGATGTGCAGTTGTATTTGGAGGAAGGTAATGAATTTTTACATTTGTTAACTCTAAATTATCCATTAAATTACGAGTTGGGGCATTATCAACGAGCAATAATATATTTCTATTTTCAAGATGCATTTTATTATTCAAATTTTTTAGGTAATCATTCCATATTGTAAGCTGCATCCATGCCTTACTGTTCCAATAATAATCAACAGGCAATGTACTTTTATCAACTCCTCTTAATGGTCTTGGGGTCTGATATTTATGAATAAATAAAGGTTTTAATTTTTCTGTTCCAATAGAATTGCATGTTAACAATACTGTTACTCTATCTTTGTTTTGCTTTATGCCTAGAATAGGTCCACTTGATAATCCACGATTTGGTTCCATTTTCCAAAAGAGACCAGTTTCATCACAGTTAAAAATATCTTCCAATCTGTAATCTTTAAGTATATTTCTTAACTCTATTCTCATTTGAGGGATTTGTTCTATGGGGGCACTTTGAGATTCTCCATGCTTGTTATATTCTTGAATTGAGTATCTTTGTTTAAAATTATGAAGCCAACCAGATGATGCTTTAAAGTTATTTACTTCTAATAATTCTGCAAACCTTAAAGCTTTTTCCTGTATAATAGAACTAGTGATTGTTAAATTACATTCAAGAGCCTTTTCAATCCATAATATCAAGGGTCCATCAATCTTAGAAGTAGGTAAAGTACTTGTTCTTTTTAATCTTGCTTGATAGGAATTTAGGTCAGTACTAAGCCATCTTTCAGGATCTTTTAATATGTCACTCACTTGACCTTGACTGATACCATATCTTGCTGCTAATTCAACATCCTTGTGACAGTGGAATAATACATTCCTTTAAATCAAAATATTGGTGGATTTTACGTCAAAACAGAATTGATGCATATGACAATAAGATTAATCAACAAATACCTGTACCAAAACTTACAATATTTGATGCTATTTCTTTTACTGCAGAAGCATGGAACCTTGTTTCACCTAGTACAATTGTTTCATGCTGGTCTAAAGTTGATATCCTTCCTTCTTCGGAAAATATTGAAGATTATTTAATTTT